TATATATATATATATATATATATATATATATACATATACATTCTTAAGTGCTGCTACTAAAACTTCATAATTTGTGTGCTTGATCTTAAAGAATGCTTCTGCTAGTGTTAAAGCACCATTCTGGTGCGGCAACATTAACTGGACCAAACTGGAAAACTTTGGAGTAAATTTCCTGGATAAGTAAATGTTGTTTTACCAATAATAACAGAACAGCCCCAAGCAAAGTGCTGAATTTACAAATATCATAGACTACATCTTCGTTCAACTATGTTTCGATTCAATGAAGTCCATGAGACTAATTGAATTATATACATTATGCATTTTACACCAAAATGCATTCAATGAAGTCCATGACATGTACAGTTTACGCATTCAATAAAACATCAATTGTCATTTCTCTCTATATGCTCCACAGAATACCAGAAGGAACTACATTTCGCAGATTGGAGAAACGTCTAAACATAGAATCCACTTAACCATGCCCGACATCTTTGTTCCGCCTCGAGGAATTTGTGCTCCCAACTCTAGAGCTCAGTATACTTAGAGAAAGAGCAAATGAATTGGTTGGAATATAACTAGCTACAGCCATAGCCACCATCAGCGTCCCTCAATGTCCCTTGGTCTCTCCTGAGTTATACAGACAGAAATATTGTCTTTACTTAGCATATCTTTGCATACATAATCAAAGCATACAATAAACATTTTACAGTAAAAACATATTTGTTCGTGAAATCATGAATTATATATACATCTAAGTTCTAACGTATGGCTTCTTGCTTACCACATCAAAATCAGGAGCAGCAACTTCTTTCCTAGAAGGATAGAGCACATAATGTTGCACAATGAAGAGAATGTCAAAGAATATCGACACCTGCAACATTCATTTCATCAAAACCACATAATTGTTTGTGCATTACATTAACTTCTCCATCCGTTTTAAAAAGATTGTCTTAGTATGACTTGTCACAAACTTTAATAAGAAAGAAAAAACTTTTGAGATATGCATTTGTGGCAATAAATGTTTCTTATTAAGGAAATATTGAAAGATGCAATTTTTTTTTGAAACGGACTAATAAGGAAATAGTGCCAATCTATTTGAAACAAATGAAGCAGTAATTAGGCTCAAGAATCAGATACAAAGAGAATCTGAAGAGAAGTGTAGTAAATAAATAGATGGGATGTTAAGGAATATTTCTTACCAATGACAATAAGGTTTTGCCAATGTTTCCATAAAAATTCACCCAAGAATCTGTACAAAAATATTTCTATATTAGGCACATATACAGAATCTCATAGAATTTTTTAACTAGGTAAACAGAAATAACAAAATATGTTAGTCGAACTCTATATAATTGAAATGCTGAAACTCACGCTGATCTATGGATTGCACTGCCATCTGTCCGTAAGTTGTTAAACCTCCAAACAAATCCAGCAAAATGTTGCCAATACTAAATCCAATTGTGCTCTTTCGCCGAAAATTCATAACAGCCTATAGATTTTTCAAAGCCAATAACTTTAATTCAGGAAGCATCAAAAGGAAACAAATAGTATAAACATATGGCAAAATCTTGTAATTTGAATAGAAGAGAACAATCACAAGCAATTCATATAGTAGTCAGAGTTTTTTCCCTTCAAACAACAACAACAACAACCCAGTGAGTTCCCATAACTGGGGGTCTGGGGAGGGCAGAGTGTACGCAGACCTTACCCCTACCCTGAAGAGTAGAGAGTCTGTTTCCGAAAGACCCTCGGCTCAAGAAGACGAAAAGAGACAATATATCAGCACTATCAATAGAACCATAGGAATAATAGCAGCATCATAAGAACTAGAAAATAGATGAAAAATAATAACAAAAACCAGCGAATAAGGCCCGGTACTATGAAAAACGGAAGAATAGCGTGGGTTTTTTCCCTTCAAACAGAGCAACAATTACCTGGGGAATGTACTTAATTACTGTCATAACAACCTGCAATGTGCTGCAATTAAGATATAGAAGTGTGAGATTCTATTATTATAGTGGTTAAATGGCTAAAGTACTATTACTTTAACTTGACCAATTTTTTTTAATTGTTATGAAAATTTTTAAACATGAAGAAAAGGGTGTTAAGTACAACTAATTATGGATTTAAATGAAAATATGGCTTACTTAAAGCAGGACACTAGCCATAGCCAAGAATGTTTAGGGAAAGCCACAAATACACAAACTGCAACACTTAACCAAGCAATAGTGACAATTGCTATAGCAGTTTTTGAGACCTTCTGATTTCCACGCTGAAAAATAAAAATAAAAATAAAAATATATTTATTAGAACCAAAGTCATAAACTCACATTAATTTCAGTATGCACATAGTAATATTTTTGAGCTGAAAAGAGTAAAAAGAGAATGGTATACTTACATCATAAATAGCAATCTGAAATAAAGTAAATGCTGTTAAAGCAACAGCATGAGTAGAGAAAGCCACATCATTAGCAGCTACAGGTATCATCTGAAATTAAACAATGAAGGCACATTTAGTCATTAACTTCACTATAAAACATAGTCATTTTATTCCATCAAATATTAACTATTTTTTAATCCTTATGGTATTTGGTTAAACATGTATACTAAGCCTTCTATTAATTAATCAAATTCTGCGCTTCAACTTATACTAGGAATCTTCATAAAATTAGTGAATTATTAATTTTTCAACTCTTTAATTACAAATGTATTTTGTAAAGATCTGTATTTTACTCCATAGAATTAGTCCAAATTAACGAGTTCCCAAATTCCAACATAAAGGGACAAAACAAATATTTTTTATTTAATTGAAGATCTAATGTGCTTAACCAAATATAACATGGGCAAATTCAATGCTTATAAATTCAGAGACGGATTCAGAATTTAAACTCTATGGGTTCATCTTTTAAGGTTTTTGGTATTGAACCCATTATATTTTTAAAGTTATGAGTTCATATCTACTATTTTTGTATTTTTAATGAATTTTACATATAAATTTGTACTTTATATTAAAAGTTATGGGTTCAGTTTAACTCGTCACTAATACACCACATACGCCCCCTGTTTATAACCGCCTAAACATGAATGAATTATATAACTCCTAATATACAATTGATGCAAGAAGGGTAGTCTTAAAACAATAATAAAATTGTCTCCATGTAACGTATAAGTCACGAGTTCGAGCTGTGAAAATGAACATTAATGCATCATTATGATAGATTGTCTACGTCACGTCGTGTCAGCACTATTCACACAATTCAATAGGAAAAAACATTAGGAGAAAGGATTTGAATGTGGTGTTATAAACCTCGTTAGAGCCATATCGACGATGGTATTGCCTCTGAACGGCAGAACTAAAGAACATGGAAACATTGTAGATGAGATACGACGAGTGCTTCGTCAAATTCAACACCACGAAATCAAAATTCAACCCCACCACACTGTTTTTCATTCAAAAAGATTCACGTAAGAAAATAATTATTAAACAAAGAAAAGAACTAGTAGTAGTGAAAAAAGAAATAAATTATGCAGAGAAGAAGTACAAACCTTTTCCTACGGAAATTCAGGACGACTTGAGGATAAAAGCTAATAGACCATAAAACAAACGCAATCCAACCAAAAACATTGTACAACACTTCCAACGAAACTGAATTCCACGACCCCATCAAAATCAACCTCTTTCTTGACTATAGATTCCTTTGTAACTTCAAAAATACAGGACAATGTAAACTATATTCGTATCAAATACTTATCGCTATTTATAGAAAATAAGCCAAAAAAGATGGGCTGCTTATTTTGTGTGCGAATCCCAATGACTGAAGTTTCGGTTGCAGACTGACGAATTAAATTTACCAAAAATATTACATCTATGTAATGAATGTGCCCCATATTGTGACCGTATTCATGTTACTTTCTCCCGTGATCCATATTTACGTAATCATAAATAAACGTCTATATATATTCAGTAGGAATATAATTCTTTTACCTGCTATGTTCAATATAAATTGATAAGCTGAAAAATAGGGTGAATATTTGGAATTGCTCAAATTGCACAATTCTTTCGGATGTATCAGAAGGGAAAGCCAGCTTAAATAAGTAGTCTAAATTTCTAACCATATATGTAGATATAACTCAAGCTCCTTTAGTCTTTAAATAAATAAATTGAAATTTTGTATTCCAATTCTGAACTGGAAGTGAAATTTTAAGTTATTGACAGGGTGGTTACGGAACCGAATCTCTCATTGTACACGTTTCAAATCTACATCCACAATTGGACTCTTTTCTTTTATTTCGTCGACAATTTGATTAAAATTTTGTAAAAATTATATCAAACTATTACTTGATATAATATTATCAAGTATTTATAAAGTAATATAGTTTTATAAAAAAAATACACAATTAATATTAAACGTTTCATTTATATTGGATTAAACAAATATGATTCAAGAAAAATATTAGATTATTTCTTTTCATCTGTCCGAGTCTTGGTGAACAAAGTTACCTTGGTCCCTACGCCTGTGGAAGGTAATATATAAAATGTGAAATTAACCGAGATGGACCATGATATGTAAAAACTGACTCGTAAAACCACGGTTATAAAAAAATAAATAAGGTTAAAGAAAATAAAGTAAATCTAACTGCACTTTGTCATTCAATTTATTATTGCCCTTTGGACATTTGCAAATTTTAGTATAAAAATAGTACGGTATAGCCAGTTTTTGGACCGGTCATTCAAAAATAGCTAGCATTTACGAAGTCAATGAAAAATAGCCACTTTTGCTGCAACAAAGACCGGTCCAACATAATATATTGGAGTTCGATGCACCTGTGTATGAACTCTAACATATTATGCTGGACCGGTATACCTTGCTGACTCCAGTATATTATACTGGACAATTATACTTGCTGGAACTTCAGTATATTATGCTGGAGTTCTAGTGTACTTATGCTGGAACTCCATCATATTATGCTGGAGTTCCAGCATACTTATCCTGGAACTCCAGTATAATATACTGGCGTATTTTTCGGGTTTTGAACAGTGTTTCGCTCAGATTTATCTTTACATGAAAAGTGGCTAAATTTCGATTACTTTTGAAACTGAGCTATTTTTGAACGACCCATTGTAAATCTGGCTATTTTTGAATTTCTCCCAATTTTGGTGTGATAAAAGTGTCAAACCCAAAATGTGAAAATGACTACTAAATTTGGGCCCTAGAGAAAGAATATGGGCCTAAATGTTTAAATGAGGCCTGGTTCCGGTAGGAATCAACTGGGCCTAGCCCAAACCAGAAAGCTCCTCGGCCGAGAAGCAGCACCAAATTCAGCATTCAGCTGCACCGATCAACTCTGCGTAGCTTCACCTCAGCTCAGAGCTATGGCGGCTGAAATCGTGAGAAGAAGTCTTAAAGCTACAAAATTTACCTTCCTTAAAACCCTAACCGCTTCTCAAACCCGTATTTTCAGTAACTTAGCAACTTCAGCACAACCCGAATCATCAGATGACCCATCTTCTTCCTCCTTCACTTTTTACGGTGGAGATCCAAATTCTTCAACAACCAATGATAATATTATCATAAAGGGTCCAAAAAAGACTTCACCTTTATCATCACAAGATTCAGCATCTGTGTCTATGCCTATGTCATTCATGACTGGATCAATTGTGGGGAAGAGGTTTTACAAGAAAGTGACAACTAGAGAAGCTGATGATGGAATTGGTTGGAGTGTTATGCTTGATTATCGTACCCTTAAAACCCCTTCTAAGCGTCCACTCAAATGCCCAACTTTAGCTCTTGCTAAAGCTATTGCTGCTGAATGGGAATACCAGGTGCTCATTTTAGTTCATTAGCATATTTAGGATTAAGAGAAGTAATTAATAAAATTCTTTCTGTAGATTCCTTTTTTTCTGTGGGATGGTTGTTTGGTTATTCATGTGTTTTGTACCATCTCCCCATTTTCTGACATATGCAATTTGGTTCATTAGTTGGATAAGTTATATGCAATGTCAGTGTAAAGAAATTTTTGTCCCATGTACCTGTTGGAGCACGTAACCTGTCTTATTTTCAAGATTAAAAATCCTATATCTAAAGAAAGTTTAGCTTTAGATATCCTTTAGGTGACCTGATAGTATAAAAAATCATGGTGTATATATAACTTAACTGGAAGTAATTGGGAAATTCCTTTTTTTTGGTGGGGTTGATTGTTTTGTTATTCATGTGTTTTTGTGTGTGTATACATTGATACCATTTATGTTATTTCAATGAAAATTTGATACTTCCATTTAACTTGATGTTTAAGTTGTGTGTTTTTGTCACCCTAGTCCTGAAGTGTCTTTTAATTGTAGGAAGCAGATGGGATCAGACCCTTTACTATGCCACTGATGAAACTTTCATGTACTGCACTAGAAAGAGTTCCACTGACGCGGCAAAAGATTATTGATCATTTGATGAAGAAATTCCCTCAAGATTTAGTATTCTGTCGTGCTCCTGGGGATAATGATCTGACAAGTGGAGTTCGCGGTACGTTATCTTGCAAGTTGCAAAGTATAAATTTTCATTGTTTTCAGAATCTGGTTTTGATATTTTGCTTTTCGCTGTTCCAAACATTTGTCTTTACTCTTTACGATCAAACTTAGGTCTGATCCTTTATTTGTCTGGTCAAATTCTGATGATCAAAATTTTGTTTCTATAATGTGGCAAAAAGTAGAGGTCTGATATAATTTTAAAATGTTCGTTGCTTCCCAGCTTTCCTATTTGTATGTCTAGATCTCACCCACCATCAGTTTTGGTCTTTGCCGAGGACATACCATACTGCTGTTAGCTAGCTTACTTCGAGTTTGGAAGGAGGGAGCGTCTTTTTTCTCTGTGTGAATTTTTCTGATTGTGCTACTAATTGACTAAGAGTGGCATCTAGACAAGGTTCTCTGTCTGCCTATCTTCGTCAAGAAACATCTCGGACTTCATGCTTCTTGAGATTAAATGGTCAATAGTTTATTTATTTTTTCCCATCAAGGATTTCACATTTGATATTGCAAAGTATCTTGCGAGCATTTCGTGAAAACACAATTCTGCTGCCCCATACTAGATTTATTTCAAATTTTGGAGGACATGATCGTACCTGTCTATTCTAGTTTCTTCTCATATTTTAGTATCCAGTGAAGTCTCTTTTTGAATTCTTCCCGGGACGATCTAAAACAAACTACTGTAGTATTCAGTGGAGCATATTACAAATTCAAGTGATACTAGGATTTTGTAACATTGTTAGGTCCTTCTTAAGGGATAAGCTTAATGTTCAAAGTTCCATCTATTTGGCTAGACTGTAAAGCACCTACAGATAATTACTTCTTGCACTGTGTATTATCACAAGATCGAGAAGAATTGACTGCAGATTCTGAGCATAAATATGATCCACTCTCGTAGTATGCTTACCAGCAGGCCTGCAGTTCTCTGATTGTTTTGGCAATTCATTTGGGTTTCATAATATTAGTACTTTTCACATATTAATCTGACAATTTGAAATTCACAGAGCGTCAAGTGGAGAAAATCGATCCTCTTCTTAAGTGGGTAGAGTCAGAATTTGGCTTCAAGCCAGCCGTATATACCAGTTTTTTTGGTGGCAAGCAAGCTGATGGTCTGGTTAGTGCCATTGAAAGCCTTCTCAAGAAAATGGATGATTGTGAATTAGCAACAATTGATGCAATTGCTTCAGCTGCACATTCGCTTGTCATTGCACTTGGACTTTTCCGTGGTAGATTGGGAATTGAAGAGGCTATTGAGTTGATTAGGCTCGAGGAAGATTTGCAGGTTTGTAATACAGTCAATTTTCCTTCATTATATTTTCTAGGACTCGTGTATCCTAAAATACATTAACCGCCAGGACTGTGATCCATCATTTACCCAGAGTTGTTCCTCAAGTTTAAGTGCTGACTTTTCTTTGGCTTCTTCCAGGTTGACAGTTGGGGTCTCGTTGAAGGCGGCCATGATGTTGATATTGCAGATTTAAAAGTTCAGATTGCTTCAGCTGTGGTGTTTCTTGGACTTACGAGGAGGGTATAAATATGGTACTCATTTTGTGAGTTTTACCTTATCGTGTCTCTTTAGTACATTACCTCAGTACCAATAGCATTTCCTATAAACTCAAAAAGTTGGAAGTGGCCAATGAGGTGAAATCAATACGTGAGTGAGTTGTATCAACCTGCTGGTTTTACAAGAACTAAAGGTGGCCTGCTGGAAATTACCAGATTTTAATGAATAATGAGCCTACTCTGAAATCATATACTCTTCTTTGAACTTGGACTACCCTTCAATTTCGAGAAGCAGGATTTAGCCTGCAAGTCCCATTCTTTTTTTAAACTGTTTTTCGAGGGGATGGGATTAGCCAAATGCCTATTATATTGTCATGAAGGTTGGAGTAGCTGGTACTTGTAGGGATATTAAACGCTTTTACAACTTTCTTATATTTTGACAAACATATTTGAAATCCATAATGTGCTCCTCATTTAACGATTTAGAAGCAACCAACTGTAAAAGGTCGATCAGATAACTGTTGCTGTTATAGCTGTAACTTCTTGTTAGATGCTAGAAGTTAACAATCAGAGACGAATGCCTTGATCTTCATATTGGTTCTTAATTTATGAATAAACTGAAGTGAAGCCATGTCATTTAGGAAGTTACTATAGTTTTGTGGAAATCATGAAATTTGATAGTATATGATGTATGTTGTTAATAACGAGAGCAAAATTCTACGAATTCTGTACAATGGGTTTTTACATCTCTTTTATAACCTATCTAAAAAAACATAGTTAAAAGAGCGCGTTGGTTCCACTGGTTGACCAATATATTTCTTGCTCATTTTGGCTGCATTTTGAGAAACATGACAACAGAACGCCCTGTTTGCAAATTTAAAGGCTAAGAAATCGGACCTCCGATTCACTGCATGAAATAGAACAAATTGATGAACATAATGGATCTTAATTTTGTAATGCAGCTAAAAGAGAAAGCTCTAAATTAGCATGCTTTTAGATCTAAGACTCTAATCATTTGATACAACTTTAGTCCATATCACTGTTTTTATTTTCTTGTTGAATTTGATAGACTCATCAAATTTAAGGAATATTTGCTTGAAGCTGGCCAAAAGAAGAAAAATGTTAGGTATTTAAGTGGAGAAGGGTTAAGATGTGGGCTTATTATCTGAGGAGTTTTGAACCGTGCACCACCAGCCTACGCGAATTTCTTGACTATCCGGAAAAAAGAAGAAGAGAACTTTTACCTGCAAATTCAGGGGCTCAACGCTCTTCTCGGCAGCACTGTATGCAGAGAGGCGGCTGCTTTGTGATATCACAATAACAACAGGCTATGTCGCAGTTGTTGTTGCAACCTATTCGAAAGAAAAGTGTAGCAAGATTGTTAGTTCATCTCCTGATTATATGCAGATAAAAACTATGTTTTGCCCAGACTCTTCAAAAATACAGCGGGGTGTCTCGAATCCGAGACGCTGCAGCAATTTTTGAAGAGTTCGAGCAACATAGGACAGATGTTATACTGAAGCGGAAAGGGGTAAAAGAAATGGATTGTTTTAGGTAACCTGTTACTGTGATGTATTGAGATGATTCCACAGTTTTAGGATTTATGAGAAATGGAAGGCGAGTGCTTATTCCAAGTTTACTTATATTCTGAATGATCACCATAGACACCAGAAAGCTAGCTACTATCGACAACTTCATTCTTTGTCTTCTTGTTTCACGGTTTCACCAAAACATAGCATCTGCTTATTAGTTTTTGCTTGGTTTTTTCTCATTACAGCTAGGTGGGGGTTATATAGGAGTAGGATCTCTATATTAATATTCTAGTTTAGGAGTTTGAGCAAACCTCGTGAAGATAAAAACTATATCGTTAATGGTCATCTGAATATTGTGCAAATTTAAGAATTACCTTGTACTAGTTTTGAATATTCCATCGAATTTATAATCTAATCGTCACACTTAACACATGAGGAACTATATATTATCAGATCCAACGCATTAAGTGCCACCACAATGGGTGCGGTAGCAGTTCAATTGAGAATTTGACAATTACTTGGCGGCACACCCAAGTGTCTTTTTAATGTTAACAATTTATATAGTTTATTGCATAGAAAATTAAATTGCTCTAATTCCATCACCAACTCAAGTTGGAAATTTGAGTCGTATAGTAGTACGTAAAATAAATGAGAAGACAATTGTCATAATTGTGAGTCAAGTAAAAAAAGAAGAAATAAAAAGGTCATAAACTTCATATTACATCACATGAGTGTTGAATTCCATTTTATTATTATTATTATTATTATTATTATTATTATTATTATTATTATTATTATTATTATTATTATTATTATTTCCGTCACCACTCTATCCACACTGAAAAGTTGTAGGAATAATAAGGACCATCAAGAGTTTTAGCAGGCTGAATAAAATCTCTGTACTTTTAACAAGAGATCTCGAGTTCGAGCCTTATAAATATAATTTTTTGTAAGATAACGACAAATATTAGATATATTTGTGTCATTGTTGATTTTGTGACCCCTATAACATATGTTTTAGGAAAATAATTCGAAAGTCGGATTTTAAAGCGCGCTAGCCAGAATTTCAACAAGTTATGGTAACTGTTAGGATTTGTGCAAAATCCTGACGGTCACTAGAATGTTCAGCCACAATGCTGGGAAAAAAAAAATCTGGTGTTCCTTAGGATTTTGCCATGAATCCTTATAGAACAACAGATCCGGAGTGATTCTGTGAAATGACAAGCAAGAATATACAATTCTAAACTTAATGTTTACCTCCCTAAAAGAGGATACTCTAATTACTTTATTTAATTCCTTTATTACTAATGAATATTTCACGATGGAATCATTTCCAGTTGTTCCATCAATATTTACCTTTACTAAAATTCAGGTTTTCCATTAATAGAAAATATGTCCAAAAAATAATATTTTGAAGGTGGGAAAATGACTTATCTCAGCTATGGGCGGAAGTCATTACAAATAGTCCCAACTCTTACTCCATATCACTTGCTTCTATCAAAATTTAAACATTACTGCAATCTTTAAATCTCTAAGGTAAAACCTTTTCCAGGGAGAACTTTCCCATGGAAAATATTTTGTTCAATTTGACTTCAGAAATAAACGTAACATAATAGAATGCTATGTCTCTTTTCCCGCCAATAAGCAGGTTAAGAGAGTTATAGCCTGATTGGCCAAGCTTATTTTTGGCCAAAAGTGTTTTTTTTTTGCCAAAAGCACTTTTGGCCAAAAATTGAGGCGTTTGGCCAAGCTTCTGGAAGGAAAAAAATGCTTTTGAGGAGAAGTAGAAACAGTTTTAGAAAAGCAGAAAAAAGTAGTTTCTCTCCAAAAGCACTTTTTTGAGAAGTACTTTTGAGAAAAATACACGTAGAAGCAGTTTTTTAAAGCTTGACCAAACACTAATTGCTGCTCAGAAGTGCTTTTCAAATTAATTAGTCAAACACAAACTGCTTCTCACCAAAAGTATTTTTGAGAAAAGCACTTTTGAAAAAAAAACACTTCTCAAATAAGTTGATTTTTGCAGCTTGGCCAAACATGCTATTAGTTCCCTACATCTCTTTCCTTCTCCCATCTGCAAAGTGCAAACAAACAACAACAACAACCACAACCCAATGTAATCCCATAAGTGGAGTCTGGGGAGGGTAGGATGTACGCAGCCTTAACCCTACCCTGAAGGGCAGAGAGATTGTTTCCGATAGACCCTAGGCTAACAGAAACTTGTAAGACACTCTCAGTTCCTGCATCCCATGTTACGAGCACATAAATGATGGCATTGTAGCGAATAATGTCTAATCAACTTCGGCAACTATAACGCTACAACAACAAGAAATATCCTCAATACTAGTTGAATCGCATCAACATCATACAGATCCAAGTATGACAACTACCTAATACCACATCGGCAGAGGAGATAATGCTCATCTTAACTTTGAACATCGTCAAGGAAAAACAAAGGGAAGCACCAATAGACATCCTAAACAACCGTCCTTGAAAGAACATAGACATATCTATACAAAACTTATAAAAGGAAACACACACACATATTTCATGCATTATGGAGCAATGTACTTGAATATGATACTGTATTAATTTAAGAGAGATGCACCATTCATCTTAAATTTTAAGCATAAAAAAGATCTCACAGAGCAAATTACAATCTGTGCATACATTTTTTGAGAAACAACCTCCTACTGATCCTTCAAAATCAAATCTTGGCGAAAGAGTTTGGAACAACATCACTGCTGGCTCAAGATGCAAGCTCCAGACGCTTGATATTATGAATATGCTTCCCAGGATTCAATCCCTTTGGATAAGCACGAGAACAGTTCAGAATAGTATGGCAGTGATAAAGCTTGAATTCATCATTAACTGCGTCCAGGCGCTCCTGAGTATATTCATCACGGCTATCCATAATCCATCTACATTTCAAAAGTAAGACATAAAAATCTGTTAAATATATTGCAAGTATGGGAAGAAAAAAACACTTTTCATTAAAGATAATAATAGCAGCATATGGCATACCAATGACAGTGGGGTTAATGTTGTAGAATTTCTTATAGAAAGTAACAGAATCAAGGCAAGTACCAACATTTTAGACATCCAATACCTTACTAGCTAATATGAGAGTCGAGATACTCATTTAAATCCTCACTGACCACATTACTCCATTGAAACTAACCTCATGCCAATATTATACACATACAAATCTGGAAGATAATACCTGCTGCTATTTTTTGGAGTATATAGAATTAAAAAAACATAAGATGTTATGATGGAGAATCAACTACTTTCCAAAGTCTAAAAGCTAGTTGTCTAATGTATCTGTATAGTTGGGTTTATTTATCCCCAATGAGATCCCCCCGATACTCTTTGAATTTTGTTAGCTCCCTAGTACTACTCTAAACAACTGTAATGGAACTAGCAATATCCTTTTTGCTATACATCTTTTGTAACTAATTTGCTTTGCATCCCCCCTGGATACCAGCAATGAAATCAATTACTTTATAAATAAAAAAAAAAAAGTATTAGAAGTTTAGAAAATCAATATGTTTCAAAATTGTCTAATAAGATCCAATGACTGAACATACATGAAAGTTGCATGGTTATACCATACAATAAGATCCTTCAGTATAGGATTTATCAAACTTCTTCCAAAAGTTGCATAGTGTTTTACCATATACGCCTCGTACAAAAGAGATTCATTCATCTCATACATAAAAGGAACACGACTTTCTTAATCAAATACTCACTCTATTTTGTTTTATGTCTTTAGTTTAACTGTGCGCGAAACATAAGAATGTAAAGAAAGTTTTCGAATCTTGTGATCTGAACTAAGGGTGTGTACAACAATATCAAAAGTATTCTTTAAATTTTTTGGTCTTAAACATGTCATGTCTCTCCTATAAGAGTGTCATTACGTGTAAAATGGAATTATTGGAATTAAAAACTTATTAAATATAGAAATATTCTTTTTGTAATAGTCTAAAAAAATAATACATACAAATTGAAACGAAGGGAGTAAAACCAGTAGTCAGCCTGATTTTTTATGACAGTGTTGTCCAAGCCAACTTGAGTACACCTCGACTATTCCATAACTCCACCCACCAAGGTTTGGGCAGAGGAGAAGAAATCACCTAGTTACAATCTATAGTTCATTTTTAACAATGATGGTGTCCGGGCTAGCTTGTGCACAACTCAAATATTCCAACGAGAAAAGGAAACAAGTTACCTCCCATCAGCACAAATTCCGAGTAACTCTACCTGCTAAGGCTTAGGCAGATAGGAACACACCAAGTTACAATCTTTATTAACTATGGCTATCTTCAACTTCATATTTGAGCCGAATACAACACGTCAATAGAAAGTAAAGGCAAACAAGAAAGAGACTAGATCTGAAGACAAAAAAGTTCAAAGGAACAAAGAATCAAAGAAATATCAGAAAAGGGCCAAATACTCCCCTATACTTTACGATAAGGTCTATATATAACCTTTGTTAAAAGTTTGGCCCATCACCAACCTTGCTGTTATACTATTGGCCTGGATATCCCCTCTGTTTTAAACGGTTGCCACAGTGGATAAGTTATCCACTCAAAATATGACATGTGGAAATTAACATACACATAATCATTTTATTTTAATGCCCAACCTACCCATTAACCCTACCCGTTACCCGACCCGTAAAACATTACCCCTCTCTTATTTAACGTCATTCCGTCCGCTTGGGTAAAAACAATTGTCACGACCCATTTTCTGAACAAGCCGAGACCGACACCCAATCACTAAACATGACCGAGCGAACTATCTGCGCTTATCAAATCTATTATAATTTCAAACTTTATATGCCACAAGGCACTACTGTAACCAAATACTTTTAAATAATTTAAATATCTAAAATAAGTCAACTCCAAAACTTTATTCGTAGTAACTAATAAAATACCTTTAAGTTATTATCGAAAACATCTGAATCTTAACCCACTGTCTATGTCTATGAAGCCTCTACTGATAAACTGACGCACTGCTCAGGACATGAGATTTCCTGACCAGTTCTCTAAGTAAACAAAGAAATAACTAAATAAAGATGACTCTAAGGAATACTCCACGAACAAACGCGG